GTTATAAAAGATGTATAAGTACTATAAGAAAGTATAATGGAAGAGAGTCATTAATTGCAAATAAGAAGATCAACAAAGGCTCTATGTAAAATTTAGTAATTGAGTTACACCTTGAAAGAGGTCCATAACCAGGCCAGGCACCGTGACTCATGCCTGTAATCCCAGCACTTTGGGAGGCCAAGGCAGGTGGATCACCCGAGGTCAGGAGTTCGAGACTATCCTGGCCAACATGGTGAAACCCCATCTCTACTAAATACTAAAAATACAAAGAAAAAAAATTATCCAGATGTGGTGGTGGGCACTTGTAATCCCAGCTATTCGGGAGGCTAAGGCAGAAAAATCACTTGAACCCAGGAGGCAGAGGTTGCAGTAAGCCGAGATGGCACCACTGTACTCTAGCCTGGGCAACAGAGCAAGACTCTGTCTCAAAAAAAAAAAAAAAAGATAAAAAGAGGTCCATAAACAGAAAAGTAGGAGACAGGAAGTGAAAAGGGAGATATTTATACAAGCAGAGTTCTTGAGTTGTGATCATATTGCAGAGGGTACAAACGACCTATTAAGATGTCTTACTAGTGATTGACAAGTAAATATGGAAGTAGATTATATGAGGCTTTGAACACGGTGATCAAGACTTTGTTCTTAATTTCATCAGTAGGGATAGAATGAAGGTTTTTAGAGCAAAGAAGGGTCATAATTTGACCTCATGATTCTCCTCTAGGGATTAAGCCCCTTCAGGGTTGGGATTTTTTGGTTGTCTATTTCTTATTTACTATTTTATTTTATTTTAATTTATTTATTTTTTTGAGATGCAGTCTTGTTCCGTGGCCCAGGCTGGAGTGCGGGGGCATGATCTTGGCTCACTGCAACCTCTACCTCCCAGGTTCAAGTAATTCTCCTGCCTCAGCCTCCCAAGTAGCTGGGATTACAGGCATGTACCACCGAGTCCAGCTAATTATTGTATTTTTAGTAGAGCTAGAGTTTCACCATGTAGGTCAGTTATTTTATTTTTATCTAATTAAAAAATGACTGGCATAAAAGTAGAAACTCATATAAACAAAGAAATGTATGTTTTAGAACAACACTAATAGATCTTTCTGTAATGATGGAAATGTGCAATGACTGTGGTGTACAATACAATAGCCACTAGGCACATTTAAATTAAGGAAGTAAGGAACTAAATTTTTAATGTCATTTAATTTTAATTACTTTACATTAAATTTAAATTACCATATGTAACACTGTGTTTTCTATATTGGACAACACAGTGTTAAGAAGTTCTTCCTTGCAGAGTCTCAACAGGAAACAAATGATTAGAAACACTCAGATTAAGATAATTCAAGAGACTTTCTCCAAATGTGTGGACAGCTTTAAGGGAACCACAAGAGACAATGCAATTGATTGTGGGTTCAATGTGTGATCAATGATGAGGCACAATTGATGGAGAGACTCCTAGTTAAGATTATACAAGTATAATTAGCCTGGATCGCATTGGGACAGTATTTATAACAGGTAATAATTTTAATACAATTCCATTGAATGAAATCCATTCTCAGATTTTTTTTTTTTTCTGAGACATAGTTTCATTCTTGTTGCCCAGGCTGGAGTGCAATGGCACAATCTCGGCTCACTGCAACCTCCGCTTCCTGGGTTCAAGTGATTTTCCTGCCTTAACCTTTTGAGTAGCTGGGATTACAGGAGCCTGCCATGGTGCCTGGCTAATTGTTTTACATTTATAGTAGAGATGGGGTTTCACGTGTTGGTCAGGCTGGCCTTGAACTCCTCACCTCAGGTGATCCACCCACCTATGCCTCCCAAATTCTGGGATTACAGGTGTGAGCCAAGGTGCCCAACCCAGAATTGTTTTTTTTTCAATCAAGTCTTTCTTGGCAGTTTGTTTACAGAAGAATGTGATTGCTTTCTCTATACAGTGCTGACCTTTGCCATGTGGTCTCAGGTCTCTCTGCCTGACACTCCACTGTAAGTGGTCCCTTTTCCATTAGCAGGGATTTGCTGACTTAATGATGGGTCCTTTCAAGGATCCCTTTAAGGAGCAGTCTCTTTTCTGAGCTCTTGGGATATAGGCAGGTTCTGACTGTTATCTGCAGTTGTATTTTAATATCCTGCCCTTTCCATCTCTTGCCTCAGAACACAGAATTCACCTTTAGTCCTATCTCATTGCTTGATGATTTGTTAAGGCTTTGAATAAAGAAGGAATGAGAGCCTTTAAGCTGGATGGGGCCATTTCTCCTTGCCTTATTTATTTTAATGCTAAGCAAAAGGAATAAAGAGGCATAAAGTGGCTTGACTGAAGCCAAATAAATCTAGATAAATAGAGCAAGGATTCAATAAAAAGCCAGAGGTGAAAAAGAAGAAAGGTGATTGTGTTTGGGATAAAGCATCAGGTGAGAAAAAAGCAAGAAGGGAGACCTCTAAACTTCCTGTCATTATAGGGACTGTTTATTATTACCTAGAGAACGAAATGTCTTTGACCCAGTGAAACATTTTAAACCAGGGTTACGCTCTGGGTAGAAATTAGGGAATAATTTTTATAGTCCTTATTGAATCTCTGTGTGCTGTCACCTCCTTTCATCCTTTATTTAAAGTTTGGTATGCTTCTGCTGCTAGCTCTGAGAAGGCTGACATCTTTTAGTTGTTCCCATGAATCACACCACAGAAGCTAGTGGGTTTTTACAGCCAACACAACAGGAGTCTCTCATATTATTCCTGATTGTGTGCATGTGTGTGCGTGTGCGTGTGTAGGAGGTCTCTTTGTCTGTGCCACTTCTGCCCCTTTTTATTATCTCTGCTTTCATGAAGTGGAAAGCGATACAACCAAGAGCAAACACTGCATGAAACTAGAGAATAAGGGCTGGGTTCTTTAGGTAAAATTAGAAACTGTCTCACAGCTCATTGTGTATCTGTTTATGCTATTGTTCTATATAGTCATGCGTTAACTCTTCATAATTCTTCACTGCTAGCATAGAGAATGCTGGATAGGAGCTGTGAAGGTAGCCATGACTTTGATCTGTGTAATTGCTGCCATTGCTCTGATATCCAGAATATTACTAGTGCTCATAGAAATAATCTAACGAAATCTCTCTTGCTTCCTTTTTCTTCTGTCTTCATTAGACACCGTTTCCACCATGTACACATTCCACACTCTTTACAAGAAACTAAAACATCGTAAAGGCTTAGTGGCCTTCTACTCTGTCTCCCTATAGGAGGTAGCTGGACATATATGGTGCCTATTTATGGCTGTCACAGTGCATCAGCTTTGGTATTGGAATTTAGCAGACCTTGGTTTATGAATGCCAAATACCTTGCACTGTATAGAATGATCTGCAATTATGGTTATTTTTCACATCTTAAATATCAATAACACTGCTGCTGGAAAAATATAGGTTGACCTGAGGTTGAGGTAGATACCAGCAACCTCACCTCATAGAGAACTTTAGCTGTGCCTTGAGAGCTAAATGCTAAAATCTCCTTCAGAGTCTCTAGAATGACATCTTTGTGGAAAATAGTAGGCCTCTAATCAAACTATGTTGTGTTTTGAATTAAGTTGTTGATTTATAATTGTAAAGTATTCAATAAGTCCTATGGAAGTTACTATCAGGAATAGACAAAACTTAAGATATATTTGCTAATATCAAGATTCTAACAGCATCGTAAGAGTGATGCACATGCACATAAATAAAATGAATATGTTGAAAAATGCTCAAAATGCTATTGGAAAAAGGAAAGGTGTGAGTTTATTTTTGAACAAGGTTGTTGGAAGAACTCCATCTGGAAACTGGTGAAGAATAGATAGGAGTTCAGTAGGTGTTGTTTTAGAAGATGCTCCCTGAAGTCAAAGGTACATTACAAGTAAGAACAGAGGAGAAGAGACAGAAAAGTATAGGAATATTGCTACTGTAAAGGAGAGTACTTGAGAAGCTATGGCGGTTCATAAGACTAAAAGTAGGTTAGGACAGAGTATAGACAGTGTTTTAATTTCTTGTTAAGGAGTCCACTGGAGAGTATGGACTCCTTATGTATGAGTTTAGTCATTGGGGAAAGGGTCAAACATGCTGTGGTTTATACTTGGCCTCAGTGTCCTTTTTCATTGAGTCCGTGCTGTAAGATCCTTCAGTTATCAGCTGCTTAAACTTGCCTTCCTGATTTTCAAGGTCTCCTCTCAAGAGCCCTTTTCAGTTTATTAATTTAAATAGCAGCAATTTTCTTAGAGGTGAATCACATAATGATTTTTTTTCCAATCTCTTTTATATGAGATATCACTGAAAAAAGTATGATTAGATTTAAGCCAGTTGTTTCCCACAAAAATAATATGTAGAAAATACCAACCAAGGTGACTCTCTATGTGCTTAATAGCCTAAAGATTTAGGTTAAGGATATAACAGAGAGCTGTTCTGCTCAAAGAATAAAAAGGTGTTGTACAAATTATCTGAAAGAGCCAAAAACAGCGTCCAGTTCTTACTTAAAACAATTTGTTCTTGGAATATTGTCAGCTAAAATTGTGGTCAACTTTTGCAAATTGTATGAATTTACACTGCATATTTTATTTAGTGTTTAGCAAAACTCCAATATGGCTCTGCATAACTTACACAATATACCATGGAAATGACTTCAGAAACTCCCACAGAAGTTTACAAATTGGGCATCTAATGCTTTTAAGCTAATTGCATGCTTAGTGATTTAAGATGTGACTTGTAAAAAATGAAGATCAGAGTTTTATGAAGATAATGTTTTGCCTACTGTCACACTGAATACAATGTAACTCTGTATCGGAAATATTACAGAAGCTTAAATATGAAAATAATGTGAGCTTTAATCACCATCCTACTTAGTCTTAAGATGCTCATGAATCATAAATAATATAGCAGTTTGGATACCTATTCTTGAATTTCAAGCTGTTATTTTCAGGAAATTCAGAAAGCAAATTTCTAAGTGATAAAGATTAATTGATACCAGTGCTTATGTCATCTTTTTCTTCTTTGCAGGCTGGAAAAAAAGAAAGGAGTAATACCCTGAATGTTGCTTTAGACAACATGTGTAAGAAGACAAGGGACCTTCGCAGACAGGTGAGGGAAGAGGGAGATACGGAGACAGAAACATACTTGCCAAATGAAACTGTTATCATTGCAGGCATATTTACTTCTTGTTTTGTCTTTCAAATTAATTTAGAATGAGAAGGAGAACAGTAAATATATATTTTCCATATTTATATATTCACAACTTAGATGTTTTTGCAGCCAACATAAAGTAGAAGAAAGAATGTGTGCCTTATCGGACAGAATTATATTCAAATCCTGGTTCTGCCCTCATTGGTTATGAGATCTTGGGCACAAATTTCATCTCTCTGAGCTTCTTTGAACCTATAAGATGAAATTAACAATTTGCAATAGGGTATAAGGAATCACTAAAATTCATATAAGTTCCTGACCCATAGCATGTTTTTAGGGAATGTTGATAAATTGATTCTATTACATGAGAATTTATCATCTAAATGCTTACATCCAAATGCTTAACTAGTGAGTAATTCAAAGACACTATCAAATCCTCCTTCCATTTTTTTTTTCAGCATACTTCAAAAATTAGTTTTTGTATAAGTTAAGGCTTTTTTTTTAACCTTAGGTCATCAGGAACACGGGATTAGAAAGAACTTCATTAAACAATTTAGAAATCTAGTATTACGCCACAAGTTAAACATTTCTCTAGTAATAGGAAGACTTAGCTATTTTCAAAGACATTTGCTCTTCATCCCTTTCCTCTGTTTAATAACCAGGGTTCTTTCTCATGCACAACTTTAATTTGGGCAACATTAACTCATCAAAAGGGGCAAAAACTATTCAACTATAAGCTTTTAATGCAATATATTGTATTTTAATGGCCAGATTTAGTAAAATGGCTAAACAATCTTTTAATTCAGAAGGAGACTTGGAAATGGAATAAATAGGGATCTCCAACCAGTTGATAAAAGTGCATGAAAACATAATTTTCACATCTGTGAAAATCTCAGTTTCTCAACTTTATGGCTTTAATGTGAATTCTGTTTCTATCATTAACACAATCATGGAATGTCAGAGTTAGAAGGAACTTAGCACAACCTGTCTTATGATGCAAACGAGAAAGCAGGCCAGTGTGGTGAGGTGACCTACCTATGAGGATGTGGCACTGAGTCAGGACCTGTACCAGGACACAGAATTTATAACCTCAGAGCCATCCTTTCGCTTTGTGGAATGATCTCTATTCTCCGTCTTCTTCAGGATTTCTACCCCATCTGCTTCACGTAGGACTCAGAAAAGTTGTTTCTATGAGCTATCAACGATTGTGTCTCTCGTTCATGTCTTTTCCCTCTATATTGTCTTCAACAACATTATACATAAAGAGCTAATCTACATTTATACCTCCAAGGGTTTTAAAATTATTATTTTTCTAAATAAAGTCAAGAAAATGCAATTACTTGTGTGTGGAATTACCAGATTTAGCAAATAAAAGCACAAGGCACCCAGTTAAATTTGAATTTCAGATGAACAACAAACATGATTTCGTATAATTATGTCCCAAATATTGTATGGTACATACTTATATTTAAAAAGCTGTTCATCTGAAATTCAAATGTAACTGAGCATCTTGTATTTTATCTTGCAATCCTACTTGTGTTTCCACCTCACTACCGTCAGTGAGACGTAGAAATAGCACTGGGGATTACTGATACTGTTCTTCATAGTAAGGAGATACTTCCATCATTAGAAAATCACTGTGCTCTGAAGGTATTAACATTTCGTATGGTTTCACAGGTTAACATCTCCATTGTTTCTCTCAGTGTTTGACAAACCACTACAAACAATAGCAACCATATTTGTATTTCACGATGCCTTGGGCTGGCTGAGTATCCGCAGGGCCATGTTCTGTACTGTTTTCACTTGTGGATTTTCCATATAGTGGCAGTCAAATGGCAACTGTGGCTACATTTGGGACTTGATTTTTGGAACCCAAATGCTTCTTCCTGTTCCCTCTTTCCGTATAGTGCCTAATGTTTTAGGGAACCCCCCCCCAACAAGACCCTTCAATCTCTTGCAGGGTAGCCTAAATTTATTTTTTTTCTTTTCTTTTTTTTTTTTTAAAGATGGAGTCTCACTCTGTCACCAGGCTGGAGTGCAGTAATGTGATCTTGGCTCACTGCAACCTCTGGCTCTTGAATTCAAATGATTCCCCTGCCTCAGCCTCCCAAGTAGCTGGGACTACAGGCACACGCCACCACGCCCAGTTAATTTTTGGTTATTTTTAGTAGAGATGGGATTTCACCATGTTGGTCAGGATAGTCTTGACCTCCTGACCTCATGATCCACCCACCTTGGCCTCCCAAACTGCCGGATTACAGGAGAGAGCCACCATGCCCAGCCTAGATTTCTTATATGGTGTTTCAAGTTACCAAGAAAAGGGAGATGGAAGCTGACAGGCATTCTTCGTGCCTTAGCTCCAAAGTCAGAGAAAGCTATTTCCTTCATATTCTGTAAGTCAAGACAGTCAAAAACCCTGTCCTAGTTCAATAGGAGAAGGCAGAAGCTCTGTCTCTTGTAGAAGTATTTGTATACAGGAATGGATGGAATTGTTGGAAGCTATCTTTGAACTCCTCCATGATCTTCCATTTTGATGAAGTTAGTTGCTATGATTCTTTTACATTATCCTCACTTATCCTCCCCCAAGCACTTTATTTTTCATCCTGATGTTTACACTTTTGGTAGAAATCACAGTTAATTAAAACAGCCACATAAATTATCTTCACTTCTTGTGAAGTTTATCCAACAGTTGTTTTAAGCATTTCATATAGTTCTTCTCACAATAAAGAGAAAGCATTGCCCTTAAAATGCTTTTCTTTGGAGTATTTAATGTTCATCATTTGCTTTAGAACTGGTTTTATCTTTTAAAAAAATTTTAGCAAAAATTAAGCAGAGCCCTTTTTCCTGCCCATTCATCCTATCCCCTTTCTTAACTGTGGCTTTTCTATCAGTAACTCAGTAACATGTTAGCTTTGGTTCAGAGGATGATTGGACTTCTTCCATGAGGAATGACAAAGATTGCTTAGAAATATCTGAGAAGAAGCAGCAATTTATAGATTTGAGGATAATCAAGATGGAATATTTTAGGAGGCGAGTATTTATTTCTTTCAACCTTCTTCCTCTGTGATTTTTTGCCTGTTTTACTAGAGAACAAAGACAAATGTTCTTAGCGTGGTGTTCTAGGTTCTCTGTGATTTGGCCCTGACTTAATCTCCATTATTCTTTTTTTTTTGAGACAGAGTTTCACTCTTGTTACCCAGGCTGGAGTGCAATGGCGCAATCTCGGCTCACTGCAACCTCCGCCTCCTGGTTCAGGCAATTCTCCTGCCTCAGCCTCCCGAGCATCTGGGACCACAGGCACGCGCCACCATGCCCAGCTAATTTTTTTTGTATATTTAGTAGAGATGGGGTTTCACCGTGTTGACCAGGATGGTCTCGATCTCTTGACCTGGTGATCCACCCGCCTCGGCCTCCCAAAGTGAATCTCCATTATTCTTAATGTTCCTTTTCCTTCAGCTCTCATTCTCAGTGTTGTCTCCTCCTCATCACACCAACACATTACCCCGTTTTCCGACAAAAGAGTCTACTTGTTATTTATCAGAATTTGCATCACCTCCCGCTCAAACACACTTGCATGTTTGCACATGACTTCTACAGCCTGATGGCTTCTCCACTCAGTCTCCTTACACACACCCTCAACACTTAAGCAACTAATTTCAGAGGAGTGTAAATGTTACTGCTTCCATGAAACGTTTGCTGTTTTCATGAGCTGGAATCGATCTTTTTCTTCCTGAATCACTTAGAGCTTGTGCACTTGTATTATAGCAATGATTATATTCTTCTTGTATTTTGTTCTTTTGTAATGAGTTTTCTTCCCACTGCATTTTAAGTCCTTATAATGATAGTTATGACATCTCTCTAGTATGATAGTTATGAATGCTTTCCAAAGCTCTCTAGCAAGCATATTTATTACATTATTTACTTTTTTCCCCTAAAACAATGAATAATGCCATGGTATTGTTATCTCTGTCACCCAAAATGAGTTACCATAGCAGACATCACCCAGCTAAGTGAAAGAGACACAGTTCTAGCCCAGGTTCATCCAACCCCAGCCCATATGTATAATCACCGTACCAGGGGCTGGGGATTGTGGCCTACTCACTTTCAGAACTTCCCAGTGCCTAGATCAATGACTTTATCATCACAAATTCTTTTCTTTATTATTTGTTTTAAATCCTTTTTAAAAATTAAATTTTCTTCTTTCTTTAGTCTCCTTTTCTATCATTCATTTGAAAACTGCATACCTATTGCAACTCTCAGTAAGAGGAGGAAGACTTTTAAAACATCCTTTATTAAAAAAATAAGCAACAAATATATTTTATTTCTGTCATATTATGGATAGTAAAAATATATGTCATTTTATTAAAGGCAGGTTAAAATTTTTATTTGTATATATTAAAAAATGTTTTTTATTTTGTAAATGCCAAAGTAAAGATGAAGTATGTCAAATAAAATGGGATTTTGATGAAAACGGACAAAACAAAAACTTGATTAATTCTTTAGTTGCCAAGTTTCTGACTTGTTAGTTCCATCTCTCCTCCATGTTGCATAATACTAGCTCACCGCTCAGAAAAAACCATGTAGGCTTAATACCTCCTGGTCATCATCCTTGTCATCAAATAATATTATGTATCCACAAAAGGCAAGTTTCACTAAATTGACATAGGACATACACAGTGAAATAATTATTAGTTGATTTAATTCCTGTTAGACAAGCTCTGAAAATCACATTGTGCTATTTGATTTAAATTTAAATGGCTTTTAATTTGAAATATTTATTAAAATTTAAATACTGTTAATGTGTTAAAATTTTAATCAATATTTTAATTTAAAATACTTTAAATGTGTTTTTCCAATTCCCTGAGGATAATTTCTTTCTGAAATACTTTCTCCTCTTTCTATTCCCTTTTCCTCATAATTTCATTCTTTCTGTTCCTGTATTTGGTGGGACTGGTGGGGCTTTTTTAGACATTTCACACAGGGCTTTCACTTTTGGGTTTCAATTGTAGAGATATATATTATTTTGAGATCCCAAACCACTTACATCAGTAGGAAATAGAGAAATTGATGTCTCAAAGCCTTTTATTAAACTGTAGTGAGAAAAGATGAAAAGCACCTCTGTTTGGTTTTGTTCTAACATCTTTCATGCCTGGCCACAAACAGGTATTTATTGAAAGTGTGTTCCTGTAATTCCTATTGGGCTCCCACTAGCTTCAGATTTTAGTGCTATGGCTTCTATTTCTATATTGGCATATTGGATTATTCTTTAAACTTTTTGTATATCACCCAACTAAAGGAATGCATTGTGCCACTGAGCAGGAAAACAATATGGAAATAAATAAGATAGAGGCTACTTTGGTATTATATTTAGGTGTATATGACTGTACAATTTAATGAAAACAATCCCATATCAATATGTAGGAACATATAAAGAAAATTGCTTAGTGTAACATTCTAGTCCTTTTACATCTTGTCCCTATCTCCATTTCTAGTCCTATTTCATAATAATTCCTCTTTTACAGTGAGTATAATTCAGGGCATGGCAGAACAAAACCCAGTGATACACAGAGCAGAGGTAGTACAGTATAATCAGCAATGAGTAGTTTACGTAAGACAATGGAGTCTCCTACTTGGCGAGTAATCCAACAACATTAACACCAGAAAAAGGTACCTGTTTTATATGGGTTTTCCTGAAAGCAGTGCCTAAAACTAGGGCCTTAGTGCAGGTCATTTATTTAGGAGGTGATTCCTGGAAGCAAGTGTAATAGAACATGAAAAGCGAGGCAGGGAAAGAGGAAATGATATGCTGCTGTAGGCGACAAGAACTTGAGGATCCCTGAGAACTAACAGAGTGTTTACCAGAATTGTCTGGCTAATGGATGGAGGCTAGGAATTTTATGTGGTAGCTCCTATCCCCATAATGTTGAAGGTTTCCCTCAGTGGTGTGGACTCTGAAGAACTTTCAGGCAGTGTTTATGCTGGGTTGAGAATTCCACATGAACTTGGAACAGGTCCTGAGACATCATAACAAAGAGACACAAGGAATGCACACAGGGAGCATGGAATGTCTTCAGAGGATGTGGAACTATTGCCCCTAGCAAAAGCTGAAATCAGAGGTAGATCCAGGGGTTGAGATATAAGGCACCAAACGTCTATAATGTAGTTCGTAATTGCGAACCAGAAAGTTAGACAGGGACTGGTGAGAATATTGTGGGTTGGTTGAATTAGTTATACTTTGTTTTGCATGGGTTCAGATATTTTAGTGGAGAGATACCTCATTGCTTCTGACCATGTGCTAGCTCCTAAAGGTTTCATTCATGTCCAACACAAATCACTGATTTCTGGGCATTTCCCTCTGTCGTGAGACAAAAAGATTACGAAGGTTGCACAAGGTGAAACAATAGTTGCTTTTCTCCTCTCATTCTTGCTTGGGCAATAAATCAATATGTATTTCCAGAAAAACAAAGGGGAGTGATAAGACTTTTTGGATATAATTGCAGATGGGAAATTATAGTGAAGTCTTTTATAGGAAAAAGCCACTCTTTAAACATGTATCTCAGAGTAGCAAATAACAAGTCTTGCTTCTTCATGTCACAATCAAATTATTTAAAAAAGGAGTTTATACTCACTGTCTTTACTGCCTTATCTCTCATTCACTCTTCAAACCATAGCAATGGGACTCCTGCCCCAACTTTTCCACCGAAACTGCTCTTACCAAGTTTATCAATAGTCTCTTAGTAGTCAAGTCCAATGGGCAAGTCTCTTTCCTTTTTTTTTTTCTTTTAAATTTAACTTATCTTTAAAATTTGACTCTAAACTTGTTTGCTGTCAGTCTCTGGGTTTTTCGTTATTGTCATGTTTAATGTACTAATATGATATATGTATAATGATATTTAATGCATTATTGTAATATTCACTCTTCTACTAGATTATAAGGAACCAGGAATTTCCATCTTGACAGTTCCTTCAATACCTTTCTCTTGGTAGAAAGGTGAGGAAATAGTTTCCAGGAACATTTACTGAATCAAAGGAAATAATTTACACAGAAGAGAAGATTTAACAAGTCCATGATGTGAATGATATAGTTGTGTTTGATAGGGTAGCTACAGAGACATATTTGAAAGTTTGTCTTTTAGTTGTTGGTCATTTGTCTCTGTTTCTTGGCTATTATCTCAGTCTCTTTCTAGGCCCTACTCTTTAATCTGCATGACTCCTGTAAATGGTAGTGTTTCCTAAGATGTCCTTTGTGGGTCTCCTCACTCTATATGGTCTCATCTGCACTCTTCACTTGAGTTTGTTCCCATAGGCTGGCTCTTCACAGCATATCTCTAATGTAGATTTTATCTGAGCTTTCCTTCTACATGTCCCAGTTATGAATGAGAGAAGAAAAGAATCAAGGAGAGGGTAATCATTAAAAAAATGCCCCCACTCTGAGAAATTAGAAGGAATCTCTATTTTTCTCTTCAGTATCTGAAACTTACCCAACCTGTAGTTTCCACCTTAAATAAACGTGTGACCTCTTGCCTGACTTCCCTGGTCTACTTCCTATAGACAGCAACCACATTATTCATTCACTTCTTCCCTTTGCCTTGTAACCCCTTAGCACTCTATACTCTGTCCTAATAAGTGCTCAACAAATATTAATTAATTGCCACTAGTAATTTGTCTTTCTGTATACTAAGCAGAATCCTTTCTTGTGGATCTTCCTGAAGCCTTTCTTAAATTGTTGATAGTCAGAAAATTTCACAGTGCTTCTGAGCAAGCTCGGTATTTTGGGCAGAGGTATTTTTCTTCCAGAAACCTGTCATTATTTAATGGATTTATTATTCTATGATCATTGTAGAGGATAGAACTTTCCATGTAGCTGTAATATTCAGCTCTCCGAAAATGTATTACTATTCATTCTCAAGTAATCTAAAACTAGTCTATTGGTTTAAAAAATGCTCTAAAATATAATTTTCACAAAAAAATTACATTTTTCTGTCTGATAGCTATTTATCTTTTTTGTTTTATTGTACAGAGTTATTAAACTAAATCAGGGGTTGACTCAAAAACCTTTGGGCCCATTCACAATCATTGACATTGTTAATGAAACATTTCAGGATATTATGATATTTTGTTTGTTTGTTTGTTTTGAGACAGGGCCTCACTTAGTCACCCGGGCTGGAGTACAGAGGCTCACTGCAACCTCAGCCTCCTGTGTTTAAGCAGTTCTCCTACCTTAGCCTCCCAAGTAGCTGGGATTACAGGCACCTGCCATTATGCCCAGATAATTTTTGTATTTTTAGTAAAGACAGAGTTTCACCATGTTGGCCAGATTTGTCTTAAACTCCTGACCTTGTGATTTATTCGCCTCAGCCTCCCAAAGTGCTGGGATTACAGGCATGAACCACTGCACCCAGCCTGATACTATGATCTTTAAAGATTCAATATTATATAAATACGATGAATTAATTTTTCAATGCAGTTTTAAATCTTAGAAAATATCTGCTGAGTAATTGCCTAATTGTCATTAATAAGCTTACATGTAATCTAATTTAAAAGAACTAATTGTAGCAGAATATTATAGTTGTTTAATAATTTAATGTGTGAGGGCAAGAACAATTAATGCAAATGGGGAAAATTGGACATCAAACTCATTTATTATTATTCTTGCTCTATTAATCTGTTATCAACTGGCATAATTGCTGATCTAACTTGGTTTAATTACCATGAAGTCTACAATTTAGCTAATCAAAATTTATCATTAATTCCTCCAACAAGGTAGACAACATTTTATAATTTATAATTATTAAAATACAAGATGTACAATGTTATTTGTACACATGCATAAACATTCTAATAGCACAATTTCTTAGAACAAAAAAGAAAGTATTACCATTTTTAATCTGACTTCTGGTTAAACACAACTTAAAAAAAATTACTTTTGAGATGAAAGGAACTACTGCTAGATGATTTTTTTTTTCACCTGGATAGTTTGTTTTTTAGTTTCTTAAGCGACATTCTTATATACCCATAAGGATTGTGATTGTAGGAATTGTACAAAAACTGAATAAAATGAATTGTGTAACTAACTACTGAGATTGTAAGAAAAGGAAATACCATGAACTATTTCTTGGGGAAAAAAAAACCTGAATTTTTCATTTTTTCTCAGCTCCGCAAGGCTATTATAGATCATGTATCAGACTCTTTCTTGGATACGACAGTCCCACTTTTGGTTCTCATTGAAGCTGCTAAGAATGGCCGGGAAAAGGAAATAAAAGAATATGCTGCGATATTTCATGAACACACCAGCAGGCTTGTAGAGGTAAGCATGCTAAAACTGTAACTCACTGAAGTCCAGGAGAATGAGGCTCCCATTCTCCATTTACGGTTGAATTGCACCCAAATAAAAACTTTTGACACCATGTTACAAATGCAGCAGGGTCTGGCCAAGGTACCATTAAGGCGTATATGTCCAGATGTATAGATCACTTCACATTGGCTTGTCTTTTTTTTATGCGTATTTTATCAGAGCTTCACAAAGGAACTGGCTAAATGCAAATTTTCTTCTTTTGTAAACTAAGGAAAAGTTTTATCGGGGAAGTACAAGTATACTCCAAAATGCAGATATTTTGTTTTATCCTTACAAATATTTTCTTCCCATTCTGACCTAAAAGTATCAAATACTCTATCTCATATTTTATTATTTCTCTACCATCTTTTCTTAGGTGTGTTACTCTGTCAGCCTTTCAAGTTGTATTTAACTATGTGGCATGACTACCAAATAAGAATATAAGATATACAGGGTAGAGAGATCCATGAATAAGTAGATAGGGGTAGTGAATTGGCTCATGTCCCCATAGGGGCAAAAGGAGACAATAAAACTATTATTCTCTCTGCTTAGAAACTAGAGACATGGGAATGCACCATGATTTTTGGAGCAGGATAGCATATTACTGAGGGAGTTGTGAAGTGCTGATAGCTTCCCAGGAGAGAGATAATAGAACTTACTCTATTATGAATATCAATAACACAAGTATATTTTAAGAGACAGCCTGAATGAAAAAAATTCTAATATGAATAAGATGACAGTATTCACAAGGCCACGAACCAGTGGCAAGAAGGGAGAAATGTGATTTACTAGATCCACAGAGCTGAGCTGATATTCAGCATGGTTCATACTCATCAGCATGACTGCGCCGGTTGTTTATGGCTGGTGTCTACTCTGGTTGTCCGTGCCTGTGTCGTACAGGTTTTGATTGCTTCACCCTCCTATGCCAGCCATGAATTCTGTGGAGAAATAAGTTTTTGTGGCCCAAATGCTTGTAAAACTTCTTATGATCAGCATGTAAATTAGAATCACATCATTGAATACAACATCTACTGAAAAAGGGAGCTTTCTTAACATCTTTAATTTGGATCCATGGGGAAGGAGGTTTCCAATGTAGCTAGAGACTCTCTTTATGGATCTCAATCTCCAGAAGTAGAAAATGAAAGGAGCGGATGAATACATGATCATTACAATTTGTGCAGCCCAAAACCGTTCTACCTCCAACTCTGAAATTTCCTTTGAATTTCCCAAGAACTCTGTTAGGTTCAGCAAGTGTTACAATTCAGTTGGCCTTAGACATAAATAAAGATACAAAACCCAAACCAAACTAATTAGAGTTGGAGCTAATTCCCAGGTTATTAAACTAAATGAAGGGTTGACTCAAAAACCTTTAAGCCCATTCATAGTCATTGACATTATTAATGAAACATTACAGGATAAATTTTAATTAATTAAATTATTTATTATATATTTACTTTTATACTTTCATCTACACATTCCAGAAAGATTTATTAACTATACACACAAAAGAATGTTAAAAGTAAGGGAGGAAAGCAATGGGAACAGATTGTGAAAGACATAACTAAGCATAGTCCCTGGTAGTCATAAACGTGTTATCTAAAAATGTGTTCTCTAAGCTGAAGACACACCAAATTATGAAAACAACTTCTTTTTTTGAAATCCTCTGAAAGCAAAACTTGGTTTATGCTGACAAAATTGATTTCCTCTTCCTATTTCTCAGTTTAGTTTTTCAATGAAGAATGGTACTTTGGTCAAACAATTTTAGGAAAATAAATACTATCTATAGCTCTGCTTGGAAAATTTACATTCTTGAAAAATCCTGAAGCAAAGAGACCTCTTTAATTTAATTTTAACAGGAGTTTTCCCCAAATCAGCTTATCTCTTTTTCTTTCATGGCACATTACTAAGACACTACCTTCAAGGAAACTTAGGAATGCTACCTTGTACCAAATGGTAGTTTACTGTCATGTAGACACAGCTCTAAGAATTTGTTTTAAAGTTTAAGAAGTTTGGAAATTATGCATTCCATGTGAATTTTGAAACAGTAAAATCTTTTGGAATTATGAACTATTGGGAGACTGAAACTGGATCTCATTTAACTCAACATATTACCTTAACACATTATAATGAGATTATATTAGGTTTGGGGTGATATTTGAGTTTAGGTTTGGGGTGATATTTGAGTTCTGGTTTTTACTCTGGTATTGCTTAGAAGTTTTGGTCTAAGTCACTTTCATTTCCAATGAGCTTTTACTATGTAACAAACCATCCTGGAATTTAGTGGCTTAAAGGAGCTATTTGTTATCTCTCACTAATCTATGGGTTGACCAGGAAATGCTGGGCAATTTTTGCTTAAGGTTTCTCACGTGATTGGTGTCAGATACTGGCTGGAGATGGAATCTGCCAAAGGTTTGCCTAGTCCAGACACGCTACATGGCATAGTCACATGACTGAAAGTGCATGTTAACTGTCAGCTGGGGGCTTAGCTGTGGTTGTTGACAGCTGCAACAATACATGGCCTCATATAGCTTCAGCTTTTCACAGCATAGTGGTTGGGTTCTGAAATGAGAAGTCCCAAATTCAAGCAAGAACTAGGAAGTAGAAGCTGTCATTTGTATTTTATTGGTCAAACCAATTACAGAGCCTGCCCAGACACAGGAGAGGGGAGCAGTGATACTACATTTCTTAACAGAAGGAACAGCAAAGTATTTGTGACCCTACACTTCTCTTTTCAGGGTTTCATTTGCTTTATCTACAAAATGAAGTTTAGACAGGATAATATCTAAGATCACTCCCAGTTTCTTAAATTCTATGATGTAACAAATATTTTTTTCAACTGAAAGATTTACAGACTTATAGTTTCCTATAACAGGAGAAAATGAAAATGGTTTTTAAGTATACTGCTTGCACACTAGGTTGTTTCTCTCTCTCTCTCTCTGTGTGTGTGTGTGTGTTTATCTTGTAAAGAATAAGAAAAAGTACTACAGTTATCTCCCAGAAAAATCTTTTTTTGAAAGGCTCTGCCTAAACAAAGCAACAAAGAAAATCTTTAATTCTCTTCTTGGGAAGCGGTGGTAGGGAGCAAGGAAGTGGGGGATTGTAAACATGCACATACACTCATCTTATTCCTAAGCTGTGCAATGTGACATAGCAGGGCAGAAAGTCTTACATTCTAAATGACTTCAAGAAAAAGCTATTAACAACATGTCTGGGTTTTGATACCTCAACTGTGTTTGTCAGAGAAATATAAAATCAGTGAAGTTGTTGAAGTAAGACTTAAATGAGAAAAAAATTCCCATTTTTAAAGATTTCTATCAAATCTTTGAAGAAAACCTCCACACTGTTAAAGGAACTCTTTAAATAATGGTCAATATGCAACTTTTACGAAAAAATAGTAAAAAGTAGAACTAAATACAAAGCAAAAAATGGAATATTAAAACATTCTGTGGGTAAGAATTGGAAAAACTAAAACATCTGGGGAATTCGAGAAAACAAATGAGAATAAGGAGGAAAGTGGCTGATAAATTTGGTCTGACCATGCCTGTTCTCTGTTGGTGACACATCTGAGGTGTCCCGCTACGCTAATAATATAGGAGGAGACCTCAGATGTGTCACCACATCTATTATTGTAGTTTTGTATAAAATGATCATGGGTAATGATGGTTATAAAACCCTGGTAGTGCCAGTAACTAGAAAATCTAGATCTTTGTGGCTAATTTTATCTTAGTTATGCTGAACTGAGTACCTATTATGCAAACCTTTCCTACTTTGAGCATCCAAGTTACTCTGTGTTCTTGGATCCACAGAACCACAGTGGGGAAGGATAAGAAGTGTTTTAAAAGTCATCTTCATATAGTGGTTAGCAATGAATGACAAATGTGTTCAGTTAATGACATATGTGTTCATATGCTTCCCAGTACTTTGATCTCACCTTGTTGGTGACTTAGGGCACCATTATCTCAACTGGCTTCTGCCAATAAAATCTACTGAACAGGAAGATAAAAATATGAAATTTAGCTAAAAAATAAAAATATTCATTAATTCTAGAGAGGATTATTGCTTTGAGCCTCCTCTGATGGCAAAGTCTATATAGCTCATGCCCAATAAATCTATATTGAATGAAGGAGAACATTCATAGCACCAATTAATTTTAATTTTTCTTTCTAAAATATTGACTTTGTGGATTCTAGTCTGGACTTGAAATATATGTCTGAGCTAAGTTATTAAGCAGAGAACCTCCCTACCTTACTGCATATAAGTACTTAAAATTAATTCTTCACAGTAATTTTAGTAAATAGTAATGGTATCGCCATTAATTATTGAAAGCAGACACTATAGACTGTTCCAGAGCTCCCTCATAAAAAGTTTCTGACAATGCAATGCCATCTTTCAAGCCCTTTGCTATCTCAGAGTTATACTTGTAACCTTAATGTGGTAATATAACTATTATTCAGAGGAATACCATTACCTTCAATAAATGCATTATTTATTATTACAAAGGCTATTATGACTAAATGTATGACTAAATGGCTATTATTTAATATTCCTCTAAAATCAATTTTTAAAAATTTCACTCTTATTTTTGAATAATATTATAATTTGTTTTCTGCAAGTCAGTTCATGCTGAACACTACAGTCACTACCAACAAAAACAGTGAAATCTTGTTACCCTATGGATTTTATCATATTAGCTATCATTAAATATGGCAGTATCAATGATCTAGGCCTGAAATTTTTCTGTAAAATAAAGACTTTTCTCTATGTGAAAAGCTAGGTTGGTCGGTGCTTTGACTTACTCATCAAAAATTCATCTATCTTTATGCACCTTATTTTAGTGAGTTTCATGGGAGCATTTCATCAAAAAGGAAAAAGTGGGTGGACATTTAATTATAATACTTCCCTACCACCTACAAAGCTGATTGTTCCCACTCGCAAAATGGTGAGCCAGATTTAGCAAAGCCCCAGTGCCAAGA